GACTTGGAGGACATTATGCTAAGTGAAATGAGTCAGACAGAGAGAGACAAATACTGTATGATATCATTTGTATGTGGAACCTAAAAGATGTAACACGGTCAATATAACAAAAAGAAGCAGACTCACAGATACAGAGAACAAATTAGTGGTTACAAGTTGGGAGAGGGAAGGGGGAGGGGCAAGACTGGGGTAGAAGATTAAAAGGAATAAACTGTCACATATAAAATAAATAAGCTACAAGGACACATTTTACAACACAGGGAGTACAACCAATATTTTACAATAAGTGGAGTATAATCTTTAAAAATTGAATCACCGTGCTTTACACCCGTAAGTCATGTAATACTGTAACTCAACTATATATTAAGCTTTCTAAAAAGGAATTTGACAGATGAGTTTAACAGCATGTTACTGAGAAGAGAATTAATGAACCAAGATGTCCGGAAGAGGATATCCAGCTCAGAGCATGGAGGAACAGGATGGGGAGGGTGTGGGGAAGAAAGGTCTGGCATTTGGCTGACAGGGCCCAGCTGGGAGGAGAGCAGCAGGCAGAACTGCAGATCCAGGAGGCCCCGCATGAGAGCAGGCTCAGCAAGACGAGAGGGGGGGTCCACACCACATGCCCGCCACAGCCCATGGGGAACAACACCCTCCTCCAAGCAGCCCGAGAAAGATTCTCTTCTGAACAGCAGGTAGGAAGACTACAGCGCTGAAAGTAATGGTCACCCTAATGAAAGCAGTCTTTCAACGAGGGTGAAATAAACCCATCTGAGAATTCATCACCAGCAGACCCGCACCTGCCGTCCCCAGGCAGAGGGTGAATTATCCTAAACAAGAAGCAAAGGATGCAGGGAGCAGAGACAGTGGGCAGCTGGCGAGCCTGACGTGGCCAGCATGCAGGAGGAGGCTGTGCCGGCTGCACACACGAGGGAATCCAAGCACCCGGAGGCACGGCCTGCGTGTCCGGGAAAGAGTCTTAAGTTCCAAGTACCTTAGACTTTTGTTGTTGTGGATGTTTTGTAATCTCTACCGCCAGAAAAATTACAAAACAATATATCGTTACTAACCAAATTAGAGGAGAAACAGAATCTTAAAAAATCGGCGGGGGGAGGGTATAGCTCAAGTGGTGGAGCACATGCTTAGCATGCATGAGGTCCTGGGTTCAATCCCCAGTACCTCCTCTAAAAAAAAATAAATGAACCGAATTACCTCCCCCCAAAATAAAAAAAATTGAATAATACAGTAAGTAAAAAAAAAAATTTTTTTAAATCAATCCAGAAAAAAGCAATAAACTGGGGGAAATAACAGAAGAGACAGGACAAGCAGGAAGCAGATGGTAGAAGGCTCCCAGAGTTGCCTTATTCGTGCAGAGTCCAAACTCTCCCCCTGAGGGACAGGTTAACAGGCTGGACTGAACACAAACCATGTGCTTCTTCAAAGAACCACAAATAAAACATGCTGCAGGAAGGACAAAGTAAATAGTCAGGAAAGGACGTCTGTGCAAACACCCCCCAAAGGTGGGGAGCTGGGGCTGAACCTCGCGTGACGAAGGGTTCAACCAGAAGGATCAGATGGCCCCAGACTTAAAAACCGAATAACCAGCAAAGCCAAGACTAAGGAGAAACAGACAAATCCACAACCTTTGGGGTAAACTTCACCAAAGCTGATGTCACTTCCCACCTACGACACTTCACTTCCTCACTGACCTGCGCACAACAGCCACTGAGACGAAGCCCAGACTCCACTGCCCGGTACCGGGCTGGCCTGCACTGCCCACCGGCGAACGGGAGCTCTGGGGAGCCTCTGACCTGGCCCCCAGGGTGCTCAGAGCTGGAGCAGCGGCAAGGGCCCCGCCCAAGTGCTGCTGCCCCTGGGGCCAGACAGAAGAGAGTACAAGGTGGGGTGTTTGCAGCCCTGACCTGGACTGTCTGGTGGAGGTGGACGGCCACCACCTTCTTCATGCAGTCCTTGATCATCTGGGACGTGAAGAAGTTGGCCTCACCCTTCTTGTCCACGGCGATCTTACGGTAGTCCTCCAGCAGGATGGGGCAGATGGCCTGGGTGGGCTGGGTCATGTAGATGGGCCCGTCGTAGCCCACCATCTCGCTGAAGTAGGGCAGTGCCCCACAGTGGTCCAGGTGGAAGTGGCTGGGGGTGCACTGCCCGTCAGCCGGGGCCCCACTCCCCAGTGAGCCCCACCCCTCACCACCCCTGTGCGCCAGCCCGGGCTCAAGGTCAGCCACTCACTCTCCTCCACTCCGAGTGCCTGCTGTGTGTCACTCTGCCCTAAGTATGCACTGAGGAGTGAGGAAGGGGCAAGAGAGGTGACCCTGCTGTCACCTGGGACTTAGACCCTGAACGTCCAGCACAGCAATAACCACTCCAGGCACCACACGTGTCAGACGTCACGTCCCAGGAAGAAACAGAAAGGCGCTGGGGGACAGCGTATTTGAGTCACCATCCTGGGTGGCGGTCGGGAAGACAGAGAAGGGCTGGCAACAGGATGAGGCCTGGGAAGGCACCAGGGCAGGGGGAATAGCGGTGCTGTGCCCGTCCCCAGGCGGAGCTGACCCACCGGGTGTAAGCCTAGGTCCAAGGAGGGGCCAGGACCACAGGGACCCCCAGCTGGGGACAAGGCTGCCTCAGGTTTGCAGGTCCCTGAGCTGCAGGTGTGGGGGGTGGGGACAGGCAAGAGGCCACTGAGGTCATCTAGGCCACCTGGTGAAGGTCAGGGTGGTGAGGGGGGCTGGGTCCCAGAAGTGTTTGTCTAGGGGAGTGTGGGGGTGGGGAGGCTGGACCTTGAGCCTGGAGGTCAGGAGCAGAGTGGTTGAGGACCTGGGGAGGCCCGCAAGATTGAGGACTGGCCAGGAGGGTATGGTCACTGCTGCTAACAGTGTTGAGAGGCTGAGTGCCAAGCCCTGGGCTCAGCAGCTGAGACGCACTATTGGTGGGGTGGCCCCCAAGCGCCTGCTGCCCATCTTCCTGGGGCACCCGGGGCTCCTTCCCATGGCACTGGGGCGAGAGGTACAGCCAACAGGCACACACAGCTCAGAGGACCCCCTGGCTCTACGAGGCCGGCCTTGCCCACCAAGGAGCAGCCATGAACACCTATGACCACAGTGTCCAGCAGTGGAAAAGCCAGCCCCGAGGGTGAGGAACCTGGGACAGAACCCGGGCTGGCGGCAGCCCTCAGCCTACACCCCCCAACAGGGCCCGGGAGGCGGGGAAGGCAGGAGCTGGCAGTGTCAGGCGCCCACCTGATGATCACACAGTCCAGGAAGTCCGTCAGCCGGCCGTTGCGGGTAATGTAGGAAAAGTCAGGGAAGCGCCTCTGCCAAGCCGAGAGAAAGCGTCAGGACGGGCAGGCTGCCTGGGTCTGCAGGAGCTGGAGGGAGCTGCCCCCAGGGGGATGAGGGTGCAGGCTGACCCTGGACACTGCCCCCCCCACCCCACAGGCCCTCCAGGACTGCTGACTATGCACAGCCTCCAAGCATGCAGAGAGGGGGTCAAACTGCCAGACCAGTAACCCAGCCAGAAGCCCAGCCTGCAGTCACCGAGCCAGCCCCACACAGCCCTGCACTGACCCACCCCCAACACAGGGTGCCCCGCCTGTTAAGTGATGGTGGGGGGCTGCGCAGGGATGCAGTGATCCCAGACCCACCTGCCTCCTACCAATGCTCACGTGCTCAGACCATCCCCACTCCATGTAACAGACCCTAAGACTCCAAGGCCTGAGTCCTACTGCTGGCGGTGACTGAAGTGGCCTGGGCGATGGCTGCCCACCCTCGAGTGCCTCTGGGCCACCTTCCCCAGGACTCACGTCGTCGCTGAAGCCCATGTGCATCCCGCAGTCCAGCATGACGTTCTTGCCCCCGATGGAGACCAGAATGCAGCTTCGGCCAACATCCTGGCCAGCCCCTGAACAGGAGGGCGGGTGAGAGGTGCTGCCTGCCTCCGCGGCCCCTGCAAGGACAGCCCCAAGGCCAAGGCCAAGCCGCCTGCTCCACAGGATGCTCTGGGCCCCTCACCCTGCAGAACACTCAGTGGGCTGGGGAAACAGACTTCTGTGGCTGCTGTGTGGACAACGTGTGAGAGAAGCATCTCCACCTCCACACATGGAGAAGGGAAATGCACAGGGAGGGGACAAGGCGCCAAGGCCACCTCGGGCTCTTCCCCACTGCCTCAGGCCCTGCCACTCCCCTCTCCAGGCAGCTGCACAGCCACCCACCCACCTGGGCCCACCTGCATCTTCAAGGCCAGGGGCTGAGTAAGGTTGCTGGACACTGGTCCCAGCACTCAACAGAGGCAAGTCGAGTCTCCCTGGGGCCTCACCACTCATTCCAAAACCTTAGCAAGGGCCACATTGGAGCTGCAGGGCCCCCTGCCCTCAAGAGGCATCAGGCAGCTCCTGGTGGTGCCACTGCAGAGGGACACTATATGGCTTCAGGGCAGCCACGGGGAAACACGGCTCCCCTATTCAGCAACAACCAACTACAATGGCCGCAGTACAGATGCCCCACCACTGTCCCCTTACCAGCCCAGATCTGAACCTGAGTCCCATCCATGTTCCTGACCTCCAAGCCCTGCCCAGATGCCCCAGCCACCGTGGGGCAAATCCCAGCCACCTCACACAGCCATCTGTCACCTCTGGGGTCTAGGGGTCCAGAAGGAACACAGCCTTGCAAGGCCTGATGACAGCAAATGACAAGCTTGCCATCTTGAAACCCACAAGCCTCCCTCTGCTGCCACCTGAACCTTCTGTGAGCACCACACACACGGCTGACCAGGCCACAGCAGGTGACGGCTTCGCCTGCCCACCTCAGGCAGCTCAGCCACAAGCAGTGGCCCCGAAGTCTCTCACAGGCCTGGCCTGTTCCTACCCAGATGGCAATGTCTCAGCCGTCTTTCTGCTGCCCCTCCAGCCCAGAGCCATCCCCAGCTCAGAAGCCCTGCAAATATCTGTGGGAAGTGGAAGGGCCACCCCTCTTTACAGACAAGAATGTGAAGTCACAGAAATCCCAGGACCAGCCCACAGGCACATGAGCAATGAGAAAGGGGCCAAATGGGAAAAAGGCATGCTGGGAGGAGGATCCCGCAGAAACCCCTGGAGAAGAACCAGGAGCTAGGGAGAGTGTGGGGCTTTAGCAGCTGAGTGGGGTGCCCTGAGCCGACAGCTAAGAGAGGCCGTGGGGGTGACCACAACTATGGCAGCGTGAGATGTGTGCTCTGACCCCGCAGACCAGCGGCATGAGTGTTCTCTGCAGCTGTCAACAGCTCAGTGCCCACAGTGGGGGCTGGGTAGGCTATTCAGCAGGGAGACCTCAGGCCAGAAGAAAGGATCTGGAGCTGCGCGGGGCAGCCCAACGCGAACATGCTCCCAATGCAGGGCCCAGAGAAGGTGACAGGTTCCCGAACAGAACCGAGCGTGTGTACACGAAGAGTACTCAGACACATCTGGAAGGCTGGCCACCAAATTGATAACCCCAGTCGTTCCTGGGACACGGGACTTTGAGTGGACTCCTTCGCACCCTTCTATATTCTCTGGGCCTTTAAACTGTACACCTACGTCTTTTGCAAAAATCTTTTTTTTTTTCTTAACGCTGCAGCTGTCAAGCAAAAGGGCTGACCCGGGGTGAACCGCCGACGGGCCAAGGAGGCTGCGGGGAAGCAGGGCGCGAGACAGACGGAGGAGGTGGAAGGGCAGGGATTGGCGAGGAAGCAGAGGCAGGAGCACAGGCGCCTTGAAGCACCAGCGCGGGGCACAGGGGGCGCGCAGGGAGCACTGGGACG